ATAAAAATTAAGAAATAAATCCAGCTGTAAAAAAAGTTTAATTTCTATTTTAAAATGAACACATGGCAATATTTGAATGGGAGTATCACATGCTGACGTGGTACATCCGTACTATTCTATAATTTCTCCCTAATAAGGAGGGAAGTATTTTCCAGCAGAAAAACCCCTACTTATTCAAAACTGGAGGGAGGATATTTGTTATGATTTTTGGCTGGAAAATGTTTTAATATTTAGATAGGTTTTCATCTCACAGACCAAAACATGAACACATGGTGTACCAGATTGGCGAAACAAACTAAATTTTAACATAAGTAAGGGGCTGGTTATTACAAACATTTTAGCACTAAGCACACGCTAAAACGTGAGAGGTTTCTAGCACATAAGCATATGAAACAAGTTCATAAACAAGTCAACTTATTGAACACATTGAGGCTAAAACTCAGACAAGCTCTCCTCATCCTCTTCAACCACAGACGCCAAGTAACTCTTATTGTCCGAATTCCTCACCGAGCAATCTGCACGAATTTCGCCTTTGGAGCCAGTCAGCACGCTGAGTTGCCCCATCTTGATCATAGATTTCACAAACTCCTCAAAGAACAAGGTCTGGTCAACAGCAAAGCTCTTGACAATGTCCTTTGTCCTTTTATCTGTGTACAAATCTTGGTCCGATGTGAATAAACCTTGGCGGTTCATGAGATCGACGTAGTATTTGTTGTCGAATGTGTCTGGTGAACGGATATCGAGCACGGTGGTGGCGTTGGTCGTATTTGTAGGGCAAATTTGCTTGAGGTCATTGGCAAAAGTTTTGTCCATGGTAGGGTCTTGGGTTGGGTAGAGCCTGCCAGTGAAGGAGGAGCAATGGCTAAGGCCAATGGTGTGGCCACCAGAGAGGGCTACAACATCTGTGGCATCTAGGTTTTTCTTTGCCAGGTCTGTGAGAAGTTTGCTTGTGTTGCTTGTGGGAGGGGGAAGGTTTGCTAGGGTTGCATTTTGTGTTGCAAAGTTTAGCCCATCCTTTCTTCCCAATGGCACATCATAGTCAGGGCCACCCGACTGCACCAAAACAAATATATGCATACATTCCAAAGGATAAAATGTTAGCAACTAGTTGGATTTTGTACATGTCAATTAAAAAAATCTTTCACATTTTTTAATTAATATTTTATATTTTATTCATAAATTATAAGACATGCCTATAAAGCTATAGGATTTATTAATTGCAAAGTAAAACAATTATAAATAAAAAAAAAAAAAGATAGTCATGT